GAAAATCAGTGCCATGGTAAGGGATGGGAGGGAGGGGTAGGATGTCAGATGTTGGCGCGAGCGCACCTAACTTGCCTCCCACCCCTCTCCCCTTCACTCACCATCATCATTATCATCATCATCACCACTCATCGTCACTACTCATCCTCATCCTCATCATCGTCACCATCATCATAATCATCACACTCATTCACACTCACACCATTATCGTCCTCATCATCAACAACAACATCATCATTATTCGATCAATCATCATCATTATCACATTCATCATCGTTACCATCATCATCACCAATCAGCATCACCACTCATCATCATTATCGTCATCATCCTCATCATCGTCACCATCATCATCACCCGATCACCTGCCCACTCACCATCATCATCATCATCATCATCATCATCACTCACTCACTCACTCACTCACTCACTCACTCACTCACTCACTCACTCACTCACTCACTCACTCACTCACTCACTCACTCACTCACTCATCACTTCGTCATCACTCACCCCCGTAGCTGGAATATGGATGAAGTCTCAAGCGGGAGTTTCGTCTGTGAGTGAATTGTGAGGAAGTCTCAGACAGGAGCCCCCTCCTTCTGGGTCCCGCACTTCATGTTGGTAATCCGAGCGGGTCATCCGAAACGTATAACTGTCGTCACTTTTGGGCTCCTCAGGCCTGAATTTGGGGGAGGTATCAAGCGGGAGCTTCGTCTGTGAGTGAAGTGTGAGGAAGTCTCAGGCGGGAGCCCCCTTCATATGGGTCCCGCACTTCATGTTGGTAATCCGAGCGGGTCATCCGAAACGTGTAATTGTCGTCACTTTTGGGCTCCCCAGGCTTGAATTTTCGGGAAGTATTAAGCGGGAGCTTCTTCTGTGAGTGAGTTGTGAGGAAGTCTCCGGCGGGAGCCTCCTTCGTATGGGTCCCGCACTTCATGTTGGTATTCCGAGCGGGTCATCCGAAACGTGTATCTGTCGTCATTTTTGGGCAGCTCAGGCTTGAATTTGGGGAAGTATCAAGCGGGAGCCTCGTCTGTGGGTGAATTGTGAGGAAGTCTCAGGCGGGAGCCCTTTCTTATGGGTCCCGCATTTCATGTTGGTAATCCGAGCGGGTTATCCGAAACGTGTATCTGTTGTCATGTTTTGGTTCCTCAGGCTTGAATTTTGGGGAAGTATCAAGCGGGAGCTTCGTCTGTGAGTGAATTATGGGGAAGTCTCAGGCAGGAGCACCCTCCCTATGGGTCCCGCACTTCATGTTGGTAATCCGAGCGGGTCATCCGAAACGTGTAACCGTCGTCATTTTTGGGCTACTCAGGTTTGAATTTTTGGGAAATATCAAGCGGGAGCCTCGTCTGCGAGTGAATTGTGAGGAAGTTTCAGGCGGGAGCCCCTTTCGTATGGGTCCCGCACTTCATGTTGGTAATCCGAGCGGGTCATCCGAAACGTGTATCTGTTGTCATTTTTGGGCTCCTCAGGCTTGAATTTTGGGGAAGTATCAAGCGGGAGCCTCGTCTGTGAGTGAATTGTAAGGAAATCTTAGGCGGGAGCCCCCTCCCTATGGCTCCCGCCTTTTGGGCCAAAGCTTAAGCCTCCAGCGCCCTGCGCGGCGCTAAGCCGATGATCATGTGGGGTCCTTCCGTCTGAGTAATTGACAGGACGGCGGGGCTGCTATCGGCCGGCTAAGTGGGGGGGTGGGGGTGTTTAACCTAGAAGTAACGATGGGGGGAGAGGGTGGGGAGGAGGGCGAGGAAGGGTGCGGGAGAGAGGGGAAGGGGGGGGGGGGGGAGGAAGGGGGGAGGGGGGGGGGACGGGGTTCAAGGGGGGCGAGATGGGGGAAAAGGGGGGAGAGGGGAGGAGAGGGGAGGGGGGAGGGGGGGAGAGGGGGGAGAGGGGGGAGGGGGGGGTAGGGGGGGAGAGGGGGAGAGGTGGGGAGAGGGGGGAGAGGGATGGAGAGTGGGGGAGGGAGGGGGGGAGAGGGGGGAGAGGGGGAGAGGGGGAGAGGGGAGAGGAGGGGAAAGGGGGGGAGAGGAGAGGGGGGGGGGAGAGAGGGGGGAGAGGGGGGGAGGGGGGGAAGGGGGGGGAAAAGGGGGAGAGGAAGAGGGTGGGAGGGGAGGAAAAAGGGGGAAAAGGCGGGAGGGGGGGAGATGCGGGGATGTGTCGAACGGTTTGCCTTTATGTGTGCCCGACATTTTTCGCTTTCGGATCAAATTTTGATAATGTCTCGTGCGAGGCATTGATTTTCGCACCCCAGGGGGCCCAGATTGCGAAGATGCCTTCGTTTGGCTTGTTTTGGTGGCCAGACTCGTCTGCGCCCAGAGCAGATTCTGAGAATGTCTCGGGTGAGGCGCCGACTTTCGCACCGCCAGGGGCTCCGCTTGCGAGGATATCTTCGTTTGCGTCTAGGGCAGGATCCGAGGATGTCTCGAGCGATGCGCGGGTTTCAGCACTCTCAGAGGGGTGGGGGGGGGCGCTAGGGTGTTCTCACGGGCGAGTTCGCGCTCAGATTGTAGGGTTGTCGCATACTCAATCCACTCATAGCCACGCTCTCTCGTACCCAGACGCTCGCAGCGGAAAGTGCCAGGAAACTAGATGCACATATGGTGATCTCCGCGTCGATTGATGCCCCCCTGACTTTTCTTTTTGGGTGGTCCACCGCCCACCGCGATATAAGAGGCGTGGCAGTTGGGCACCCGAAGGGGGAGCCGCTAGGCGGTATGACGTTTGCCCGTTCGCGCCCAGATTGTGGGGATGACTCAGGCGGTTTGCCCCCGTTTCTGCCCTTCCCCCGACTTCTTTGTTTTGGTTGCCACTGGTCACAACGAGCAGGCGTGGCTCTTAGGCACCCCAGGGGGCAGCCGCCAATGGAGTGGAGACGCTCCAGGGTTCACGCCCAGATTGTGGGGACGTCTCAGGTGGTTTACCTGTTTCTCCCCCCCCAGACTTCTCTTTGGATTTGTGTTTCCCCCACTCACACACTCACCTCCGCCTCCTCTTGTTTTTTCCGGTCGCACTCATTCACATTCAGATTTACTCAGCAGTGCTCTTTCCCCACTCAGACTCATTCATCACATTCAGATTCACCCATATTTTGCTTGCATCAGACTCGCTTATACCTAAACCCACACCCACATTCACTCAACATCATATTCATTCACATCCAGATTAATTCACATTCAGATTCAGTCATGTTCAGATTCACCCACCTTCAGACTCACGCATATTCAGATTACCTCGTACTCAGGGTCACTCATCATCAGATTTGTAATCATCTCACTCACACTCAGACTCACTCGCGCTCATATTCACTCACACTTCAGCCCACTCGTGCTCGGTATCGCTCGCATTCAGATTCAATCACACTCAGATTCGCTCGCACTCCGATTCGGTCACACTCAGACCACTCTCGCTCATATTCACTCGCACTACGGCTCATACGTCGGTGGTCGTCGCGATGTACTCGGCGGGGCATTTGGGCACCCCAGATGCTAGCAGGCGCCGCTAGTAGCACGCCAGACAGCGGGCGTAGCAAGGCCATGCGCGCTTGTCTGAGTTGCCGCAGTGCCGAAGGCAAAGCACACTCCCCTCGCTCTTCCACTTGTGCTTCCTTCGTCTCTCCTGAAGCATGCCCGAAGGAGGAATCACTGCATTCGTCGTTGTCCTCGTTGTTGTCGTGCCTGTCGTCTACGCGGACTCGCGTTCACGCCCAGATGCCCACAGACAGAGTTCCTCAGCGAGACGTGGCAGGAGTTATGAGATGCACATATGGGGATCTCCGCGTCGAGTATGTTATTTTAGATTTACCACGGAGGACGAGAGCAATCTCGCGAGAAGTTCTCCGGGCATCTTTGTTTGGATCAAGCAGACCTGCATTGACAGCATATGTCGCCTTTCACTGGTTTGTGATGCCCGAATTCGGAGCGAACTCCAACTCAAATGGCGGTTCGGGTATCCAAACTTGTTGTTCAGATCCGTGCGCGGCATGCTTGGCATACTCTCTCTCCTACTCAGGTGCCAGCTCCGGCCTCGTTGCGGTTGAATTCTGAGTGGCCGATGACCAGGTTGGAGCGTGATGCTCCACTGGCAACTGTACCAAAGACGAAATGGAGGAAGGTAGGAGGAGGGAGGAGACAAGGGGAAATATAAGGAAACACGGGACACATAAATATGCACCAGCTTACACGCGCACACATCCCCCCCATTGAAATCCATGAATTCTGTGAGGTCAATGCTGGGCAACAGGACGACTGGAAGGGGATGCAAGTCTGGTTCGCAGTCCAGTGCTGAGGAAACTGTTGAGTAAAAAACTTATTGCAATCATGTGTCAATCCTTGCATTTGATGCAAGCTCTCGCTGGGTTCGGGAAGGTTTTTGCTGTGCGGGCCGCATGAGGTTTGGAAAGTTGTATGGTGCCCTTCCGTGCCCACCCCATCCCGCACGCAAGGACTTCGCACCCCCCCGTTTGTAGGGAAGTGGGCGTATGGGCCGCCTGCCCCGCACCACGCCAGGGGTGGTACATGCGCTGGAGGGGGAGGAGGAAGAGGAGGAGGAGGGAGAAGGGGCGGGGGAGGATGCGGAAGAGAAGGTTGGATCCCCGCCCGTGCCATTGGCCTGTCCTGTGAATCATCGCGGCCAGTTTTTCATCCCTTTCCGATCCCTGACGGCCCAGAGGTCCGAAGTGGGTCCGCCTGAGGCCGAAAATGTGGAGGCACCTTCTGGAACATTGATCCGCGATCCTCGAGCTTCGTCAGTTCTTTTCATCGGGGGGTGGAAAAGGCAGTGCCGCCTTCGAGCTGATTCGATGCGATTCGATTCGCCGTCTGGGGCCTCCTCCTCCTCCTCCTCCTCCTCCTCCTCCTCCTATTCGCCTCTGCGTGATTCACCGTCATCGGCCGGGGGCTAGCCGGAGCCAGGCGCGTCGATCCGATTTTGACGCGGGACGAGCCGCGAGTCGATCCGGATCAGGCCTGAAGGGGCGGCAGCAGAAGGAGGGGGCGGCCAGGTGTTGTCGAAGCTGCGAGAGCGGGAGCAGGGCCACACCCAGCAGCGCGGCTGCACGTGGCACCAGGAGCACGGCGGCTGGTCAGTCCTCCCCCCCTCCCTTCTCCGCCTCCTCTCAGCCTCCTCTCAGCCTCCTTCTCCTCCTGCTCCTACTCCTCATTCTCCCCTTCCTCCAATCATCCGCCCTGATTCCATTCCGCCGGGATCCCATAAGACGCCCATAGGAGGTTGCAGAGATCCCATAGGAGCCCGTTTCTTTCTTGCTTGGGGCATGGCGGGCGTCATGGCCCCCGCTTCCCCCCCCCCTATGACGCAACGCTCCCCCCCCAGTGCGCTCGGGGCACCGCCGCCGTGCGTTTTGGGATCCGCGTAGGTGTCCGCGTAGGAATCCGCATAGGAGTCTAGTCTGCAGTCGTCGTCGTCGTCGTCGTCGTCGTCGTCGTCGTCGTCGTCGTCGTCGTCGTCGTCATCGTCGTCGTCGTCGTCGTCGTCGTCGTCGTCGTCGCTCGTGGCTTGTCGCTCGTCGCTCATAGTCGTCGTGCGCGCGGACGCGGCTGAAGCCTGTTTTTTTTTTCCGGCCGATGACGGCAATCATTTAGGGGGGATAGAGGGGGTCGATGTCGTCACGTTTCGCGCCAGCAGCGTCTGGGAATGCTTAGGAATGACGGAGGACGGGTAGCGCCAGCATGTAGGTGGCGATTTGCACCACAACGCCTGTGTACACCACAGTGCCTGCGTGCACCACAGCGCCTGTGTACACCACGCCGCCTAGGTACGCCACAGCAGCCGCGTGCAACACAGCGTCAGTTTGTGCCACCGTGCCTGCGGGCACAACAGCTCTCGTGCACACCACAACGCACAACGCTTGCGTACACCACATCAACCGTGTGCAACACAGCACCAGTGTACACCACAATGCCTGCCTGCATTGAAGTGCCTGTGTACACGACGGCGTCTGTGTGCACCGCAGCAACCGTGTGCAACACAGCACCACTGTTGTATGCAAAATATTATCACGAGTCCCTCTGACAAAATGAATCGCTTGTGGACTCCACAGAGAACGATCTAACATTGTTCCGACGGTAAGACCCCACACGAGAATCTGTTTAGCTTACCCTTGGCCCTTCTCCCGTCGCCATGTCCCCTCGCCCTGAGCTCTGCTCTCTCCTCTTCCCCCTCCTTTTTATTTATCCTCCTCCTCCTTCTCCACCTCCTCCTCATCATCGCCCTCCCTCTACCGCTGCCCCCTCCTCATCCTCCTTCCGCGTCTCTATGTGCACCTCCTTTCTCCCTGGTCGGGGCAAGCAAGTCGATTTTCCTCGGCGCCGTCGCCGCCTCGGCCAACGCGCGCGCGTTCGCCGACGGCTAGATCGCGAAGCCCCTGTGGGACAGCCCCGCGGGCCATGCCTTTGGGTCAACGTCGCGGGCGGCTGGGGCGCGAGGGCAGGCCGTCGGGACAACCCCGCGGGCCAGACCGTTGGGACAACCCCGCGGGCCTCAAGCTGCGCGCCGCGGCGCTCAGGCCGGAGGCAGCCACGAAACCCAGGAGGAAAAGGAGGAGGAAAAGGAGAAGGATGAGGAGGAGGAAGAGGAGGAAGAGGGGGACAGGAGGAGGGGGAGGAGAAGGGGAAAACACCTTCCGAAAGGCGGGGGGCTCCACAATTACCCGTTCTCGAGTGTTTAAGGGGGTTGGTTTTGCCCGGGGAATGGGGGGGTGGGGGGAGGGGGTGGGGGGGATTTTCGAAGGGGGGGGCCCCTGGGCTCCGGAGGAATAGGGGGCGAATTTTCCACATTAAGCGGCGGTGGATCACGCTCTCTCCAACAATCGGATCACGATCACATCTGACTATGCGGACGATTTCGCCCCAATGAGGACAGCTGACTCACTCGATGTATGCGTGACGCCTTGTCCGACGCCCAGCCCGACGCCCACCCTGACGCTCAATCCGATACCCAACCCGGCGCCCAGCCTGGCGCCCGGCCCAGCGCCCAGCCCGGCCGGCTTCCATTTTAGCGGCTCCGCCACTGGCGATCCCCATTTGCAAAACATTCATTGTGATCGGGTCGACTTGATGAAGACGGGCGAGCGTGTTCTGATAAACGTCCCTCTTGGAACGAGCGCTGATGCCATGCTTTTCGCGTGCAAGCTGACGCGCGCCGATTGGGTTCACATTGCGCGGACCTTTACTTTGAAAAAGTGGACGTCACAGGGCCTTGGGCAGAGGCAGAACGAATTGGAGAGTATCAGTGCAGCGCGTCTCCGCCCCATGTCAAGTCTCAGAAATGGATTTCTTTCGGAAAGTCGAGCTCGAAATCGTTCGAGGGCATACGGAGATTGGCTTAATGTACTTTAACGTGTACGCGAAGAATTTCGGGCAAACGGGGTATGCCGTCGGAGGCCAACTGGGTGAAGCCGACCACGAGGACGGAACCATTCCTCCAGAAGAATGCGCCAAGCGGCTGTCCTTGAAGGCAGGGACGCTGAGCGATCAGACCCCTTTGGTAGCCTCCGTAGCAGTAGTAAGCCTGGGGTGACTGTAGACATAGCAAGAAGTCGTCACAGTTGGGCGCTTTCGCGTCTATCCCTGCTGGACTGTCTCGAGAACTTTTGTGTTTAGGTATCTCGATGGATTTTCCACGCATCGAGCCCCATCGCCCTGCAGGGGCCCAGGCGCGGGAGGCCTGCGCATCGTTGCGCCCGGCACCAGGCATCCTGTAAAATGTAAGTCGCCCCGGTGCCCGTCGTCTAGCTCAGTATCGGAGTCGTCGTCCTGCCGTCGCCATCATCATGCCCATGGGGTCGACGCGGGAGCCTCCGCCTCCTGGGCAGGGCGGTCAACGGGCCTTCTTCCCCCGCGCCCCCTCCCCTTTCTTGCTTTCTTGCTTCCTTGCTTTTTTCCTTCCTTGCTTGCTTGCTTGATTGCTTGCTTCCATTCTTCCTTCCTTCCCTCCCCAGAACACCAGGATGGGAGGGTCTGGGCCTTGATGATGATGATGATGATGATGATGATGATGATGATGATGATGATGATGATGATGATGATGATGATGACGATGACGATGACGATGATGATGATGATGATGATGATGATGATGATGATGATGATGATGATGATGATGCTGATGCTGATGCTGATGCTGATGCTGATGGCGCTGATGATGATGGTGCGGATAAAGATGGGTGATGGGCAGTAGAGGATGGATGCGGGGTAAGGACATTGAAGCGGAGGATTAGTAGGACGATGATGCTGCTGCTGCTAATGATGATGCTGATGCTGCTGCTAATGATGATGAGGATGCTGATGCTGATACTGATGCTGATACTGATGCTGGTGATGATGATGCTGGTGATGATGATGCTGCTGATGATGATGATGACGATGACGATGATGATGCTGATGGCTGATGATGACGATGATGACGACGACGATGATGATGCTGATGATGACGATGATGATGCTGCCGATGATGATTCTGATGCTGCTGATGATGATGCTGCTGATGATGATGGTGATGGTGATGATGATTATGGTGATGATGCAGATGATGATGATGCTGATGCTGATGCTGATGATGATGATGATGATGATGATGATGCTGATGATGCTGATGATGCTGATGATGATGATGATGATGATGATGATGATGATGATGATGACGATTATGATGGTAACTGTGATGATGCAAGAGGTTTGTTGATTTAGGCGAGGATGAGCGAGGAGGAGGGGTCGGAGGAGGATGAGGAGGTGGAGGATGAGGAGGAGGAAGAGGAGGAGGAGGAGGAGGACGAGGAGGAGGATGAGGGAAGAGGAGGAGGAGGAGGAAGGAGGAGGAGGAGGAGGAGGAGGAGGAGGAAGAGGAGGAGGAGGAGGAGGAGGAGGAGGAGGAGGAGGAGGAGGAGGAGGAGGAGGAGGAGGAGGAGGAGGAGGAGGAGGAGGGGGGGGAGGAAGAAGGAGCGGGGATGAGGTGGGATTGACGGGTGATCAGGACGAGGGATGTTGATGACCCCATCTTTCCTCCCCCCACTCCGCTCCTCCTTTCCGTGACACCAGGAGTACGGCAGCTGGATGGTCGAAGCGACCCCGTCCGTCCCCTACGGAGGCTACACCAGCAGCCTGCTCGAGGCCGACCTGGTCATGCTGCTACTGCTGCTGACCATGACGAGATAATGCAGTGATGATGCAAATGACGAGGATGATGAGGCGGAAGGATGCTTGGTGAGGGAGCAGGGAGAGGAAAAGTGAGGGACTGGGAAGGACGAAGTATGATGTATGGAGGAAAGGAAAGAAAACGGAGGACGGTGAGCATTGAAGAGGAGATGGATGAAGAGGATGAGAAGGAGCGGATAATGACGATGGATGAGGGTGTGCGGAGGAAGGTAATGTTGTAGTGGCCTCAAGCCAGAGCCGCCGATCCTGGGTGCTACGGACTCTGCTTGCTACGGATGTCCTTTTATGTTTAACATTGGAACACTCGCTCGAGACATCCTCATAATACCTCGCTTGGGCAACCTTCGGATATTCGAAAGTGACGATCTCGCGTGAACAGCCAAACTCATGGGATGCCCCCTCCCACCTTCCGGGCCTGAATGGCGTCAGCCATGGCGTCAGCCCCCGCCCCCCCCCCGACTCTCCCGTCCTGGGCGTGAATGGCGTCAGCCATGGCGTCGGCCCTCCCCCCCCTCTCCTCTCCCGAGGCTGAATGGCGTCAGCCATGGTGTCAGTCCCCCCCCCCCACCCCACCCGACAGAGTGAAGCTTGAGCGAGCTCCCCCGCCCCTACCCCCTCCCAGGCCAGCCCTCCCCCCCCCTCCCCGAGTCCTCCCTCGGGGGCCTGAATGGCGTCAGCCATGGCGTCCCCACCCCCTCCTCCCCCCTCGCCCCTCCTGGGCCTGAATGGCGTCAGCCATGGCGTCAGCCGCCTCCCCCCCCGACAGAGTGAGCTTGAGCGAGCTCCGCCCCCCCCCCCCCCCTCCCCCTCCCGGGTCTGAATGGCGTCAGCCATGGCGTCAGCCCCCCTCCTGGGCCTGAATGGCGTTAGCTATGGCGTCAGCCCCCTCCCCCCCGACAGAGCGAAGCTTGAGCTAGCTCCCTCCCCCCTTCCCTCCTCCCGGGCCTGAATGGCGTCAGCCATGGCGTCAGCCCCCCCCATCCCCGACATCCTCCTCCCGGGCTTGAATGGCGTCAGCCATGGCGTTCCCCCCCCCATCTCCTCCCTCCCTCCCCCACGTTCCCTCTCCTAGGCCGGAATGGCGTCAGCCATGGCGTCAGTCCCCCCCCCTCCCCCGTCCCCCCGTCCCCAACTCCCTCCTCCCGGGCCTGAGTGGCGTCAGCCATGGCGTCCCCCCTTCCATTCCCCTCCTCCCTCTCGGGCCTGAATGGCGTCAGACCCCCCCCCTCCCCCTTCCTTCCTCCCGGGCCTGAATGGTGTCAGCCCCCCCTCCCCCCTGACAGAGCGAAGTTCCCCCCCCCTCCTCCCTTCTGGGCTTGAATGCCGTCAGCCCCCCCCCACCTCCTCCTTCCGGGCCTGAATGGCGTCAGCCCCCCCACCCCTCCCCGACAGAGCGAAGCCCCCCCCTCCCCTCCCCCCCCTCCTTCCCGAACCTGAATGGCGTCGGCCTCCCCCCCTCCCCTCCTTCCCTCCCCCCTCCCGGGCCTGAATGGCGTCAGCTCGGGGGGGAACTTCGCTCTGTTTGGGGGAGGGGGGGCTGACGACATTCAGGCCCGGGAGGGAGGAGGGGGGGGCTGACGCCATTCAGGCCCGGGAGTGAGGAGGAGGGGGGGGGGCTGACGCCATTCAGGCCAGGGAGGGAGAGGGGGGGGGAACTTCCTTCTGTCGGGGGGGGGCTGACGCCATTCGGCCCGGGAAAGGGGGGGAAGGGGGGGGCTGACGCTTCAGGCTGGGAGGAGGAGGGGGGGGGGGGCTGGCTGACGCCATTCAGGCCCGGGAGGGAGGAAGGGGGGGGGGCTTCGCTCTGTCGGGGAGGGGGGGGGGGGACTGACGCCATTCAGGCCTGGGAGGGAGGAGGGAAGGGGGGGGGAGCTGATGCCATTCAGGCCCGGGAAGGAGGAGGGGGGGGGGAGGGCTGTCGGTGCGCCTTGCCGTGGGTGGGGGGCGTCCCGAGGTGGGGATGGGGCGTCTTGGCAGCGCGCTGAAGGCGGCTTCCCGCCCTCCTGCCTCTTGAGGCGCCCACCTGGAAGCCGAGCGCTCGGTTGTCCGCTGGCTCGGCTGGGTGGTGCCTCAGGGCCGCGCCGCGAGGACGGCAGGCTTAAGACTTGTTGGAAGCAGCAAGTTAGAACGTATAATGTTCGAATGTTAGAGCGTTCGAGTTTCCATCCAGGATGTGGGATTCCTTCTTTCTAAGATGTACCTCCGAACTTAGAATGTTAGAAGCCGAGAGCTTTGAGAAGTGCCCCTGCCTTCTCAGAAAAGGCACCCCCCTCTCCCTTTCCGTTCCTCTTCGCGCCGGCGAGCCTCCGAGGACTGTTCTCCCATCCAGTGGCCCTCGGCCCAACCCACCACGACTCACGTCACTAGTCAAAACCTCCACAGTCGCCACTGAGGGCTCCGGTCCCCGCCCGCGCTGGCCTTTCAGGCCGCGCCCTCGGCGGACTCAGGCGCGCTCTGCCTCTGCCTCTTCCTCTTCTGCCTCTGCCTCTGCCTCTGCCACCACGGTGCTTGGGTTGTGGGCTAGAGGCTTTCCGGATGTCTCGTGGGATCTCCTCGGAAGTCTCGAGGACTCCTTGGGCCCTCTTGGGCGTCTCCTTGGGCCCTCTTGGGGGATTCTCGGGGGACTCCAGCAGCGTCTTGGGGACATCCTGGCGGTCTCGGAAAGCCATCTCGAGGGAAACGGTCTGAAACGTCAATTCGTGTTCCCCCTCGTGGACCCCTCTCAGGGCCGTCTTGGGGTCATCTTGGTGCCCCTGCGACCACTCCTGGGGGCTTGGAAGCTGTCTTGTGGTGATCTTTGGGCCCCCTCGGACTGTGCGGGGCGCTCTTACGAAGGACAAGGCGGAAAGGCAAAAACCAATGAAACACATGTTTATCCTAATGATTCTGGCCTCTTGGGGCGGTCAGTGGAGCCTCCAAGACGGCTCAAGAGGCTCAGCCCGGTCGCGCCTAAATCGTGGGGATGTCTCGGGCGGTTCGTTTGTTTTTGCACCTCAGACTCCTTCCTCTGTTTTGAGAGCCCCTTGGTCACCGCGACATGCAGTCGGGGCGCTGAAGAAGGAACCTTGATCGCTGGGGAGGGGCTCGGTGTTCCTTGATTGTTTCACAGCTTGCCTCAGGTTTTCCTTCGATGGGAAGCCGAAGCTCAACTTATGGATCAGCAGGGGCCTCGTTCCTTATTTAGGGTTCCTTAGGCCACCGCGACATAGCAGGCGTGGCACCGTGTTGGGCGCGTGGAACCCCAGCCCACGCCAACCCCGGAGGCTTCCAGAGGCCGGCACGCGCGAGGCCCCGGGAGCGCCCGGAAATCCAGACCCTGGGCCCCCTGCAGGGCACTGGCAGCACTGACTACTACAGAGTAAGAAGGGCTCCTCCTCCGAGGGCGCTGCACTCAGTGCCTCGCGGCACTGTGGCGGATGCGGATCTCGTGCTGCCTCGCCCTCGCGGTCCGCCCCAGTGTTCTGTTTTTACCCGTTGTGGTCTGTGGTGTTCGGCTCTTTCCTCCTTTCGGTATCGTTTAACCGATCCCCATCCCCAGCCCCATCCCCTTCGAGACCCCCACTAAATCACCACCCCAGTTGGGGATACACCCCTCGAAACCCGAAGTGAACGACCTGTGTCCCCATCTAGGGGGGTAAATCGGCCAGTGGGGCCCAGGCCACGCCGCTGGGGATGGGAATCGGTTAAACGATACTCATCCTTCTCGCTCGGCTTGAGTTGTTGCTTCAACAATATGAGACGCCCGCAGCAACCTGTGATACGTGCTGCGAACGCAGCGCTCGTGGCAGCTCTTTGCTCGCGCGGGCATTGCCTCGCAGGGGGCCTCGAGCGCCTGGCCCGTGCAGCATCTCCCCTTGTGTGACTCCTTTGGCATCCATGCGTGGTCGCGCCATGCCCCTCGTTGCTGTGGCTGGGTTCTCAGTGATCGCCTGCCTCGGAACTGCGCCGAACGAGCACGAACAGCAATTAGCCCAGCCCCGACGCTTCGACAGGATCCTCTTGTTCCCTCGCAACCTTGGGCAATATTCTAGGCTAAGCTTCAGACGGCTCGTGTCCCACCCCATCCCCGTGGCGATGTCTAATGCTTCCGTGCCTTTCGGAGCTGGGGCATGACCCCGGCCTGCGGTCCAGTGTAAGGAGGAATGTATCAGCCGCAGGAGATGTAAAGAAAGCACGACGCGAAAAGCAGCCAGCCGCCGCAGGTGGAGCAGAACATGCGACTGCGGCGCTCGCGGCTGCTGTCCGTGCTGGAGGCGGACGAGATCGCGCCCACCATGACCGTCTTCCCGCTGATGGGATGCGGCGATTTCGTGTCCCCGGCGCCAGGGATCGAATCATGCACCTGGCCCGCCACACAGGCGAGACGCTGAGACGAGGAACAGTTCGGGCTCGCCAGGGGCTCGCTGCTTCTCGGGTCCTTCCATGGCCATGGTTGTCCCTCTGGCGCTCCACGTGTGCACCCAGGCGCTCCTGGGGCCCAGAAGGGGCCTCGCCCTTGACTCAGCGCTCCTCATGGTGGTGGCTTGACTGTACCCGCCCCGCCGTATCACCCCCCTCCTCCTCCTCCTCCCTCCTCCCTCCTCCCTCCTCCTCCTCCTCCTCCTCCTCCCTCCTCCTCCTCCTCCTCCTCCTCCTCCTCCTCCTCCTCCTAATGTTCCCAACTGTGGTGCACCTGTTCCTCTAGGAGGGGACACTGGATCTGGAGTCCTTGCTCAAGCTTCGTCTTCCTCGCTGCCTGGTGCGGCTACTGATCTTACCTGTGAGGGAGCGCGTGCGGAACCCGCAAAGGGGGGGGGTCCCCCCTTAGCTACCCCCCCTCCCCTGGTCCCCCCCTGCTGGAAGCCCCCCCCCCTCCCCCCTTTTTTTGCTCCCCCCCCCCCTGAATGGGGGGAGGGGGGGGGGCTTAGCTCCCCCCCCTTTTGCACCCCCCCTGCGGAAGCTCCCCCCCCCCCCTCCCCTCCTTTTTCCTAAAGGAGGGATGGGGCTTAGCTCCCCCCTCTCCCCTTTGGACCCCACAGCTGGAAGCCCCCCCCCCTCCCCCATTCCCCTCCAACCCGAACCCGATCCGTAAACACGAACCCTGAGCCCTAACCCGAACCCGAAACACTCACCCTATCCCTATCCCTAACCCGTAACCCCTAACCCTAAACCTAAACACTGAACCACCCATGACCCTGACCCCTAACCCTAAACACTAACCACCCTAGACCCAAACCCTAGAGACGAACCCTGGACCTAACCCTAGAAAACGAAAAAACGAACCAGGACCCGAGAAAACAACACAAACCCAGAAGCCGATAAAACGAGATAACGAGACAATGAACCAGGGTCCAAGAAAACGAGATAACGACCCAGGAGCCGAGAACACGAGAAAACGATCAAACAAGCCAAACTCCGAGCAAACGAGACCACGACCCAGGCCGAGAAAACGCGAATATCGGTCCTAGAAAACAAGACCACGACCCAGGGGCCGAGAAAACGAGAAAACGATAAAAGGAACCAGGGCCCGAGAAAACGGGACTACGAACTAGGGGCCTGGAGAAGTAGGAAACGAGACAACAAACCAGCGTCTGAGAAAACGAAACCACGACCCAGGGGCCGAGAAAACAAGAAAACGAGACAACTACCAGAATTCAAGAAAACTGGACCACGACCCAGGCGCCGAGAAAACAAGAGACGAGAACACGAACCACGGTCAGAGAAAACGAGACCACGACCCAGGGGCAGAGAAAACGAGAAAACGAACCAGGGTTAGAGAAAACGATACCACGACCCAGGGGCAGAGGAAACCTGAAAACGATAAAACAAGCCAGGGTCCGAGAAAGCCAAACCACGACCTAGGGACAGAGAAAACGAGAAGACGAACCAGGGCCCGAGAAAACGAGACCACAGCCCAGGAGCCGAGAAAACGATAAAACGATAAAACGAGAAAACGAAACGGAGTCCGAGAAAACGAGACCACGACCAAGGGGCAGAGAAAACGCTAAGACGATAAAACAAACCAGGGTCCGAGAAAACTCGACCACGACCCAGGGGCCGAGAAAACAAGAAAACAAGAAAACGAACCAGGGTCCGAAAAAATAAGACCACGACCCAGGGGACAATAAAACAAGAAAACAAGACAACGAATCAGGGTCAGAGAAAACGAGACCACGACCCAGGGGCCGAGAAAACGAGAAAGCAAGACAACGAACCAGGGGCCGAGATATCGAGACAAGAACCCAGGGGCCGAGAAAACGAGAAAACGAACCGGGGCCCGAGAAAACAAAACCACGACTCAGGGGCCGAGACAACGAGAAAACGAGAAAACGAACCGGGGCCCGAGAAAACGATACCACGACCCAGGGGCCGAGAAAACAAGAAAACGAGAAAACGAACCAGGGTCAGAGAAAACAAAACCACAATCCAGGGGCCGAGAAACGGAGAAAAGGCCATCGGCGGCAAAGGAAGGGGGGGGGGGTAGCTTCCGAAGCCCCCCCCTTTAGAAAGGGGAGCCCGAGCTTACCTCTGGCCCCGAAAAGGGAGGAAGGGGGGGGTAGCTTCGAAGCACCCCCCCTTTAGCCTGGGCCCAAGCTTCGGAAGTCCCCCCCCCTTTGTAAAGGGAGCCCGGGCTTGCCTCTGGTCCCGAAAAGGGAGGACGGGGGGGGGTTAGCTTCGAAGCCCCCCCCTTTAGCCAGGGCCCCCCCGGCTCCAAAATGCTTTCAAAAGGGAGGGGGGACGGGGGTAGCTTCGGAAGCCCCCCCCTTTTCGAAGGAAGGGGGGGAGGCTAGCTTGAAGCTGGGTCCCCCAGTATTGAGTTCCGTACGGGCGCGCTCTTTCTGACCTGTGTCGTGCATGCTTCTCCTCGCGTTTTGGCTGATCGACGCGCTCCTCTTCCTGATACTGTTCTGCACGCTGGTTGTGGGTGTGTACAACGGCCGCCTCTCCCTGGCGTGGCAGATGGTGCTCACGTCGACGATGCAGCTGCTGCTGGTCCTCATGCTGGCCGTGCCCTTCCTCAGGATGTCGGCGATTCTGTTAAGCGATTGGGGGCCGACAGTGTCTGCGAGCAGTTCGACACGCTCCGCGATACAATCCCTGGTCTCATCGAGGCTCCTCTTGACGCGGTGGTGGCTACACCCAGCAGACGGGTGCTGTCCTCCCTGGACGGCGTGCAGCGACGGCTGGACGAGGCCTCCGACGTCTGTGCTGCGCGCCGTGCCGAGGATCTGCCCGGAGCTCGTGGCGTTCCTCTTGACTGCGCCGCTGGGCGTGGCGCATGTCGTACAGTAAACCCGCATCGTAAGGATGGGCAATGCCCTCGCATCCTTGCCTCCTCGGTCCATCCTTGGCCACTTCCGCTGGCCGCGCCCCGCTCGCGAGGTGTCGACATGGCCTCCCTAAGGCCCTTGCATCCTCATCGTGCGTCCGGGATTCCCGCTGGTCGTGATGACGGTTCCGTTGCCGCTCTGCTGGTGGCGTGCGGTGCAGGTCGCTGCTGCTCAGTCTCGACGTTGGCGGGGGCACGCTCTCGCTGCGCGAGAGAACGTGCCGCCTCACCCCCGGAGGACGTGGTGAGCTTCGACAGGAGGAGCTGTTTGCTCAAGAGCAGCGCCCACTGCGCGCCGAGCATCGCGTGCTCGACGTCCTGCGACCCTTCGCTGTGCGTCGTATGCGCAAGAGGGGCGAGCACGACCACCTTCCTCGGCATCAGCTCCGTGAACCTCGGCGCGGCTGGCACGCGTGGTCGCCCTCCTCGTCCTGCTGGTCATGCGGATCGTGTTGGTCTGCTTCCTGGAGGCGCGTGTGGCCCTGGCGGGGTTCGGGCCGCCTCGGCCGATCGCAGGCTGTTGCACGCTTGGACGCTGCTGTGAGTGGCGCTGCTCCGCCCTGTCCTGGTGCTTGCGCTGCGGATGAGCCCCAAGATTGTGTGCATGTTGGCGCCGTCTGTGACGATCGTGATGTGACTGGCTCTGCTGTCCGTCCTCTCGTTCATGACGTTTCTGGTGGTGTTGCCCACGGACTTCACAGTTGTGATGACTTTCGCGGCGACGACGCTCCCCGGCAACCAGTTCTTGGCAGTCTCGATTTCTATTGCATGGATGTGCTCGGCGACGGACCTCGCATCCGTACCTTGTCGGCGTGCAGGTTCTTTTCTGCTTGCGCCCGCGGTTGCCGCTGTCGATATAGCCATCTGTCCACGCTGACGTCCGAGGAGATCAATGCAGAACACACGACATTGAATGTGGTTAGAAAAGACATTGGAGGCTCGCACGCGCTGACGGAAGCTCAATGGCATCTGCGCGCAGCTCGTCATCTCGCTCTTGCCATTTTCGCTTGTTGCCGATGCTGACTGTGAATGGACTGCCTCTCTAGCTGGTGTTCTGGCTCTGGAGTGCAAGGCTGCCTCGGAGGGAGACGCCCTGGCTGGACAAGCTGCCGGTCCTGCACATGATGCCCACACTGGTGTTCGTCAAGATGCTGGCACTGGCCGAGGGCAGGGTACCACACGATGCGACAGCACGAACAATATCGACTCGGTGCTGAACTCACTTTGGATACCGCGCGGTGGGATGATGATGCCGACGACCCGCTCTACCTGGCGCTCCTTGCTGAAGGTGGCGCTGCGTGTGATGGTCCTCAGGGTCGCTAGGACGATGCACACCATAGTCCCCAGCCTCGCCTACATGAGGGAAATGAGCCTGCGGGACTTCTGGGCCCCTCTGATGTCGGTGGCGCTGCTGATGGGCCCCTCCGCTGCTGATCATGCTTTCCCTGTGCTTCTGCCGCCACCTGACGATGCTGCTGTCGTACGTCCCCCCAGTACTTCAGCCTCCTGCAGGGCTTTTGCCTCATGTCGGTGGCGTGACGCTGCTACGGGTCCTACCGCTGCTGAAACAGCCCTTGCTGCACCTAATCGGGGACAGGTGGTGCCAGGGGCCCCTCTCTTTCGATGTGGTGATCTTCTGCGGCTTCGCCGTTGCAGCAAGGCGCTCCCCGTTCATGCCGACCTCTTGTCCATGGACGTCGACACTAGCTCGATATTCCACGCTTTCGCCGACTCCTTCGACTCCCAGCCGTCCGCGCTCGACGAGTACGGTTTGAACTACGTCGCGGCGGGGGCTCCCCCTGCCATCGTCTCTTCTGCTTCCTCGGGCGCGGAGATTGACGCAGACTCTCCGAACTTCGTGTTCGATGAGGCGTCCCACGACGTTGGCTCGTTCGCGACCGCCGACTCCAGCTCCGGCTTCGCCAGCGACGCTGTGCCCCTGAGTGCCTCGGAGGGCGCGCGGTTGCCCGCATAGGCGCGGAAGGAGATCTTTGGCCCCCAGGGGCGCTCGCTCCTCCTCTCCTCCTCCTCCTCCTCCTCTTCCTCCTCCTCCTCCTCCTGCTCCTCCGCCTCCTGCTCCTCCGCCTCCTCTTCGCCGCCCCTCCGCCTCGGCTCGTGCCGTGGGGCGGGCCGACCCGCGGCCGGCGAGGGCCGCGGCGACCGCGAGGCTTGGGCCCCCGCGGGTCGCTGCCCACGAGCCCACCGATCCTGCAACGTTCGAGGGCGCCCCGATGCCCTTCTCTCGGCCCCAGGGCCTCGCTGCCCCCCTCCCCCGTGGCCCCCCCTTGGTCTTGCACCTTTCGCTCCCCCCCCCCGTGGGGAAAACCCCGCGTGCCCTCCCCCCGGGGGGGCTTCCGGTCTCCGGTCGCGGTCGCGCTGCTCTCCTCCGCCGTCCCAAAAATCCGACGCTCCAAAGACATTGGGGCGGCTGGTTTAGGGCTGTTTTCGGCCTCCGGGGGCCCTCGGTGAGCTTTGGGGCCGTCGACAAAACGATTCAGGACGAAAAACCGGCCCGGGAGACATGGTCCAGACTTCCGGGGCCCACGCGAGCGGCCGGATGTTTGGGTTGCTCCTCGACTGGCTGCTTCTCAGATCCCTCTGAGTGCGCGTTCGTGCTGCTCGGGCGCTCAGGAATGGCCGCGGCGCCCGATGCATGCCCCCAACTCATACCCAGACCCGAGACATCCCCACGTACCCTCGTCCAGATTTCGTCCCTAAGCGGTGGATGCTGTAAGGGGTTCCAGATCCTACTTGAGGAGAGAGAATTTCGCACCCAGAGTGCGAACAAGTTGCCGCCCGCGTGCCATGCCGTGCGGTGCCGTGCGGTGCCGTGCCGTGCTGTGCCTGCGTGGCGTGTCGTGCCGTGCGCTGTTTCTGGCATGCGACGACCGGCCGCGTGCCGTGCCGTGCGTAGTTTCTGGAAGCATGCCGTGCCGTGCGGTGCCCACGTCCTGTGCTGTGCCATCCGTGCCCGCGTGCCGTGCCGTGCCGTGCGGTGCCTTGCCGTGCGTAGCTTCTGGAATGCGAGTCCGGTGTGGCCCACGTGCCGTGCCGTGCCGTCCGTGCCCGTGTGTCCGTGTGCCCGTGTGTCCGTGTGTTCGTGTGCCATGCCGTACCTGGGTACCGTGCCGTGCCCGCGGGACGTGCCGTGCCGCGCCTTGTTTCAGTTTCTGGCGGGCGAAAGAATTGCCGCCCGCGTGTCGCGTCGTGCCGTGCCGTAGCCGTGTGCCATGCATGGCCGACTTTTTGGGATGCGGCGGTGTTGCTGCCCGCGTGCCGTGCCAAGCCGTGCTCGTATGCTCGTTTCCCTGCCGTGCCTTGCCGTGTTTAGTGTCTATTGTAGTGGCCTTCGGCCAGTGCCGCCGATCCGGGTCGCTCGGGGTTATTCTCCAGACGCAGAAATTATGGGCGCACACTCAAACGCACACACACAGTCACACCACTTAACCTGCGCCGCAGACATGCGCACACAGCATCACCCACACACACATACTAGTTGGGAAACGCTCCTGTAGTACTAGTAGTAGTATTAGTAGTAGTAGTAGTAGTAGTAGTAGTAGCAGTAGTAGTAGTAGTAGTAGTAGTAGTAGTAGTGGTAGTAGTAGTAGTAGTAGTGGTTGTGGTAGTAGTGGTAGTAGTAGTAGAGGCCTCGTTCCGCGGCTTCTCTCGACTTCCCGCGGTCTCTCTCAAGTTTCGAGCACGCGGTGAGTTTCACGATATATGTGTGTGTATGTACGCGTGCATGCATGTATGCATGCATTGATCATGTGTGCCTGTGTGTAGGTACGTATGTATGTATGTATGCTTGTGCGCGTATGTATGTATTTAGTTTGTATGTATGTTTGTATGTGTGTATGATAATATGTGTGTATGTGTGTGAATGTAAGTATGTATGTCTGGAAGATTGTTTTTCTATGTATGCAAATGTGTTTAAATGTAGGTATGTATGCATGTGTGTATGGATGTGCGTTTGAAGAGCGAGGATGTTTCAAAGAAGAGGCACTCGGTGACGCGATCGTTGAGGGATAGGAGTGAGGTCGCAGAGGAGGAGGAGGAGAATGAGGAAGAGGCGATAACTTGAAGGAAAACGATGAGACGGAGGACATCCTGCCGGTGGCGCCCTGGGCGGTGCCGCGGAAGAAACCGGGGGCCTGCCGGAGGCAGTCTGGAGGCCTCTGGGGAGCTGTTTTGGGGCCTCTTGGAACCTCTTTTGGGCCTCTTGTGGGCTTCTTGGGGCCCCTTGGGGGTCTCTTGGGGCCTCCTGGGGGCCTCTTGGGGCGGAAAGCTCGGTTCTTTCGGTTCGTGGTCCCCCTCTTGGGCCCCTCTTGGGGCTCTCTTGGGGCCTTCTTGGGCTGTCCAGAGGCCCTCTTGGGCCGTCTTGGGGCCCTCTTGGGCCGTCTTGGGGCTCTCTTGGGCCGTGTTGGAAGCATCGTGGGCCGTCTTGGGACGGACTTGGGGGCCTCTTGGGCCGTCTTCGAGCGTCGGACGCCCGAAAAGGCAAGAACGCTAAAAACCCTGAGAAAACCAATGAAAATCAACGATTCTGGCCTCTTGGGGCCCTCTTGGGAGGCCTCTTGGAAGCTTCTTGGGGCGTCTTGGAGACACCTTGGGCCGTCTGGAGGCCATCTCGGGCGTCTTGGAGCGATTTTTCGGCGACTCGGGGCCCTCTTGGAACCCCTTGGGGGTCTCTTGGGCCCCCCCCCTCCTCCAAAGCGCCGGAAAAAGCGGAGCATGGCGCCCCCCCCCCCCCTATCTTCCACTCCCCCGGAGCGGCCCCGGGGTTCGCCGGAAACTCGCACCCCCCCCCCCCCCCCCACCCCCCCTTCCCCGGCAGAGCCACCCCGGCGACCCCCCCAGAGGCTGAAGCTCAGCCTCGAGGCTGTAGCTGAGACTCCTTGAAACTCACACGCCGGATCGGCGGATTTATTGGAGCGCGACAAGTTTTCAAAACGCGGGGAAGTTTGCACCGCCGTGCCGTGCCGTGTCGTGGCTGGTTATCAGAGTGCGATCAAGGTGCCGTGCCGTGCCTTGCCGTGCCGTGCCATGCCGACCATACGTTTTATCATGCAGCGCTGGTGCTCGGGGCCCCTGTGCCGATGCAAACCTCATCCTGCCTTCGCCCTCGACGATTTCTGGTTTTCCCTATTCCCGTTCTGCCCGGATGTAGCACGGCGTTCCAGGCAGTAGCGCTGCCAGCGTGGGGGCACTGGGTTTCGCCGCGCGCTTATTGTTCGGAGGGAAGTTTGAGCGACGTCGTCTGGCCACCTCACCGATCCTGGCGAATCCGATCCTTGGTCTAGGATCGGTATGTATGTATGTATGTATGTATGTATGTATGTATGTATGTATGTATGTATGTATGTATGTATGTATGTATGTATGTATGTATACATATAACGGCGCACCGGGTCCGGGGGCCCGGGGCCGGGACCCCGACCGCAAATGTGGGCCCCGGGGGGCCCGGAGGCTCGTCGGACCGCCGGACGCCGTCCAAGATCGTTCGCAGGCGGCTTCGGAACGCGCTCCGATGGCTCCAGATGCCTTCCAAGACGCCTGTCATGACACCAAGACGGTCCCAGAAGCCTCCAAGACGCTCCGAGAGGCAGCCCAAGAGAGGCCCAAGAAGCACAAATTGTACCATTCCTATGGGAAAACGTATATTTTTCGCATGTTCGCATCTTGGGCTTTCACCGCGTCCAAGACGGCCCAAGAGGCGCCCAAGACGGCTAGGAGGCCTCCGGGAGCGCTCCAAGGCTGCGCACGAGTGGCTCAGGACGGCCCCAAGACGGCCCAAGAGAGCCCCAAGACGAGTTCGAGAGGGGTCCCAGACGGAGAAAGCCAACCTCGAATTCCGAGCTTCCGGCCCAAGAGGCTCCAGGAGGCGCCAAAATGCCGCCAAGAGGCGCCACAAGGCTCCCAAAGCACCCCAAGACGTTCCGAGAGGCACCCCAGAGAGGTCCAAGAAACAAAAATCGTGCCATTCCCATGGGAAAACGTATTTTTTCGCATGTTCGCATCTTGGGCTTTCACCGCGTCCAAGACGGCCCAAGAGGCCTCCAAGACGGCCTAGGAGGCCTCCGGGAGCGCTCCAAGGCTGCGCACGAGTGGCTCAGGACGGCCCCAAGACGGCCCAAGAGAACCCCAAGACGACTTCGAGAGGGGTCCCAGAAGGAGAAAGCCACTCTCGAATTCCGAGCTTCCGGCCCAACACATCCCAGGAGGCGCCAAAACGCCGCCCAGAGGCGCCAAAAGGCTTCCAAAATCAGCCCAAGACGTTCCGAGAGGCACCCCAAGAGAGGTCCAAGAAGCAAAAATGGTCCCATTCCTATGGGAAAACGTATACTTTTCGCATGGTCGCCTGTTGGGTTTTCACCGCGTCCAACACGTCCGAAGAGGCTCCCAAGACGGCCTAGGTGGCCCCCAAGAGAGTTCCAAGACGGTTCACGAGGCGCCCAGGACGGCAAAATTGGACTCCAAAATGGCCTAAGAGAGCCCCAAGGCGTGCCCGAGAGGGGTCCCAGAGGGAGAAAGCCACTGTAGAATTCCGAGCTTTCGGCCCCAAGAGGCTCCAGGAGGCGCCAAGAGAGCTCCAAGAAGCCCCCACGAGAGACCCAGGACGCCCCAAGAGGCTCCAAAGGCGGCCCAAGAGAGCCCCAAGATGGGCCCGAGAGGGGTTCCACGATTCCTGGGTCTGTGACTCGACAGAACCTAAGCGCGCGCGAAGCGCGCGCGTGGTTCTAGTATGTATGTATGTATGTATGTATGTATGTATGTATGTATGTATGTATGTATGTATGTATGTATGTATGTATTTATGTATGTATGTATGTATGTATGTATGTATGTATGTATGTATGTATGTATGTACGTACGTACGTACGTACGTACGTATGTATGTATGTATGTATGTATGTATGTATGTATACATATGCACACACGCCTCCGTGGTATGTCTTTCCAGCTTCCCCCTGAAGGCGTCGCCGCCGGGCGGACCCGCCTCCGAGTCCGCGACGGTGCCAGACGCGTGCATCAACAAGCACCCACGATTTCCGACGCTCACGGCGAACATCAGGCCGCGCTGGGGCGGCGCATGGGGCAGGGAGCAGGGGGAGTAAAAGAAATGTGATTGTGATGGTGATGGTGATGATGGCGATGATGATGATGCCGATGAAAATGATGAGCATGATGTTGATGATGATGATGATGATGATGATGATGTTGATGATGCTGATGATGTTGATGATGCTGATGATGATGATGGTGGTGATGATGATGGTAATGTTGATGCTGGTCATGATGCTGCTGATGATGATCATGATGATGAGTTGCTGCTGCTGCTGATGATGATGATGATGATGCTGATTATGATGATGCTGATAATGCTGCTGATGATGATGATGATGATGATGATGATGATGATGATGATGGTGGTGGTGGTGATGATGATGATGATGATGCTGATGATGATGATGATGATGATGATGATTATGCTGACGATGCTGATTCTGATTTTGATGCTGAGGATGAGGAAGAGGATGAGGAGGAGGAGGAAGGAGGGAGAAAGAGGAGGTTGAGGAGTGGGGAAGGATCAATAGCAGCGAAGAGGAGTAGGTGGGGCACGACAAGGAGGAGAAGGAGGAGGAGGCGGAGGAGGATAAGTGTAAGCCCAAGACGCATCAACGAGGTTGCCATGAACCCTCACTCCAAGTTCCCTCTTCATATGGCCGTACAAGCATGTATTTTCATTGCTGGAAGTGCCACGCTGGACGACAATCGTGTGATAATATCCAGTCCTGCCAAAACACCATCCCGAGGACTTCAGCGCCGCGAATCAATGTGACTGTTGCGTTCCCACCACCGTAAATTGTACTGGAACACCATTCCTGAGACTTCAACGCCGCGAATCAATATGACTGTTGCGTCCTGGTAATCTTCAATCGCGCCAGGAATCATTCCTGGAAATCAAACCTCACGAATCCAGGAAACTGTTGCAACCTTTCAAGACGAATGTGCGCGGCGCTGTGGCGAGAACGTATTTCAAGAAACGGAGCGGCCATACATCATTTGATCTGTTGCAAGCTGTTCAGACGAATGTGCGCGGATATAGGCGAGAACAACATCTTGAAACTCACCCGCCCTCCATTCCTGAAACTGATGCAAACCGCTGCGACGAGTGTGCGTGGCGATAGTGCGAGAGGCACACTTGAAAAGGACCCCCTTCATCCTTGAAAATGTTGCAAACTTTTAAGACCACTGTGCGCTGCGCTAATGCGAAAACGACAAGTTGACAACCACACACCTTCCATCGTACAACCTGTTGCACACTTTTAGAGCAAATGTGCGCGGTGCTAAAGCGAGAGCCACATTTTGAGAAAGGACACGACTTTCATCTTTGAAATTGTTGCAACGTCCAAACTTTTGAGTCATACATGGTAAGTCAGGCGAAACGCCCAACATGCCCTACGAACACGTCTGGGGTTGCGGCAGGGGTGAGTTAATTTCAAGGAAGAGGGGGAGGAGGAGAAGGAGGAGGAGGAGGAGAAGGAGGAGGAGGAGGAGGACGAGGAGGAGGAGGAGGAGGAGGAGGAGAAGGAGGAGGAGGAGGAGGAGGAGGAGGAGGTGGAAGAGGAGGAGGAGGAGGAGGAGGAGGAGGAGTGAGGAGGAGGAGGAGGAGGAGGAGGAGAGGGAGGGATGGAGGGGAGGGGGGGAGGGAGGAGAGGGGAGGGGAGGGGAGGGGATGGGAGGGAGGCAGGGAGGGGACTATGTTTCGGACTATGTTATTCCGGACGGCCCCCGGGGGGTCCCCGAGGGGCCGGGCGACTCCCCGGCGCGGGAAAACATCCGCCCCCTGGGCCTTCGGTTCCGCGTCTTGGGGAGCCGGGGGCGCCGCTGCCCCAGGGGGTACCTTTCACGGGGGAGCGCGGCGCCCCCGTCCGCGAAGGGGTGTGGGATGGGCGCGTCCGGTCCCCCCGCAACGCCTCAGCCGCGGGTCCGTGTGGCCGCGAGGGGGGCGGCCCCCTCCCACAGCACAATCTCCCACCCCAGGCTCCCCATGCGTCAATTAGATCAATGGCTTGTCCAGGTGCAAGCACCCTGTATATGACGCCAGGTTGAAGCTTCTGCATCGTGCGCTTGAGCGTTTGTCAAGAGACCATTCGTTCCAACCCCGGCAAGTGCAATCCGATTGGTGTCGTCATGTCTTTCGCGAGCTCAGCCAGGATGCTGATGCGATGGCTCATATGAATACTTATACACACGCACACTGGATGCCACCGTGGCGGGTGATATGCAGGCATTCCAATCTTACCGGGCTGGGCTTAATTTGGATGGCAGCCGCACCACACGTAGAAGGGGTGTAGGATGGGTCTTGTATGGTGCAAATGACATTGTTTACGGCGACCCTTCTGAATGGGTAGGGGTGGCTGACATGAGTTTCGTTTTGGGTGGCCGTGCTCCCGTCGCCGCCGCTGAGCTGGAGGCTGTACTTTGGTGTGTGTTGTATTTCTGCGCGCGTGTGTCCAGTCGCGACGAGCTGACGCTCTTCTGGGCCACGCGCACAACACACGCTTTCTCCATATTCCCCGTCCTTGAGATCTTATGCATGTGTTGAAGACGAATGCTCATTCGCTTGTGCGTGTGAAGCTTGGCTTGGAGTTCGCGTGATAAATGACAGGCGCGGCTGAATGTGCATGCGTGTATAACCGAAGCGCTTGCGATTGCACTGGTTTGGAACGAACGAACGAGGAGGAGGAGGAGGATGCGGAGGCTGCAGCGGAGTGGGATGATGAGGAAAATGATGAGGAGGCGGAGGGGGCGGCGGAGGCGGAGGAGGAGGATGAGGATGAGGGGGAGGAGGATGATGATGACGATGATGACGATGATGCTGATGCTGATGCTGATGATGATAACGATGATGATGAGGATGATGATGATGGTGATGATGCTGATGATGATGATGCTGATTCTGATGATGATGCTGATGATGATGATGCTGATTATGATGATGATAATGATGATGATGCTGATGCTGCTGATGCTGCTGATGATTATGATTATGATAATGATGATGATGATGATGATGATGATGATGATGATGATGGTGATGCTGATGGTGATGCTGATGATGATGCTGATGATGCTGATGATGATGCTGATGATGATGATGAGGAGGAGGAGGCGGATGCGGCGTAGGATGAGGATGATAAGGAGGAGGATACAGAGGAGGAGGAGTAGGAGGAGGAGGAGGAGGAGGAGGAGCCATAACAATAATAGTAATAGTAATGATATTAATCACAATACGAATACTAATCACAATAATAATGAGAAACATAATAAACATGATAATGATAAGACGAATGATAAACACACTATGAATAATAATAATAAGAAGAATAAGACTAATACTTATACTGATAACAACAATAATACTATTAATAATATTATTAATAACAATAATAATACCAATGCTAACAATAATAATTCGACGAATAATACTACTAAGAATACTAATAATAATAATAATGATAAGAATCAGAATAATAATAAGAACACTACTACGCATAAGAGTAAGACGAACAATACTAATAAGAATATCAGTAATAATAAATAATAATAATAATAATAATAATAACATTATTATTAATAATAATATGAAGAAGAAGAAGAAGAGGAGGAGGAGGAGGAGGAGGAGGAGGAGGGGGGGGGAGGAGGAGGAGGAGAGGGAGGCGGAGGGGGCGGCGGAGGCGGAGGAGGAGGTGGAGGAGGAGGAGGAGGAGGTGGAGGAGGAGGAGGAGGAGGAGGAGGAGGAGGAGGAGGAAGTGGAGGTGGGGGCGGGGCGCCGCCTCCGTCCCAGGTCTCGCCGCGGTGGTAAGGTGGACATCCGGGTTCCCACCTACAGGGACGAGGCCACCACGGAGGACTTCGCCACGGGGGACTGCATGGCGTTCGGCGCGCGGGCCCAGGAATCCTGCGGCTTTGCCTGCTGATCAGCCGAGGAAAAATCCCGATACCGCTGCCGGTGCTGGAAAACCTTCGTCGCCACGGTTGGATTATCCTCGAAGTTCTGGTCATAAAGCGCCCCAGGAGAAGTCCGTGGCGTAGCGGTGTCGGTGCCTTGTTGATTTTCCCAGCGCAAGCGCCCGCTTCCAACGCCAGAGTGCGTCCGTGCCCCTCGCTCGGGACCGTGCCCGGGGATCTCGAGTGTCCCTCGAGGAGTTGTGGATCTGGGCACTTCCGCCTTCCGCCGAGGGCAGGGGGAAACGTCCCTATCCAACGTTCCCTGGGGATCTGGGGCAGGAGTTGCGGCAGGGGTCGATGCACGTGCATCTTGGTGTTGCACTGACACGCCCCTGCTCCTAGCCATCGGGCCTTGACTACGGCCTGCTCGTGGCAGTCGTGCCCCACGGTAGCTTCGCCACGCCGACGCGGCTGCGATCCCGACGCGGGCGTTCAAGGAGGAACGCCGCCAGCGGCCCAGGATTGGCCGACGCAAGGCCGAGCGATCCGGGCGGTGTCACAAACATCCGCGCAGGCCGTCACGACGCGAACCTGCCGCACCTGCGGCCGCCGTGCCCTGCTCGAGCCCTGCGCGCTGCAGCGGCCCTCGGGGGAGGGCCGGCCGAGACGGCGGCGGCTCTCCCAGGGTCCGGGGGCAGCCCCTCGCGGGCTGCGGCGGCCCCGCCGGGGCCCTTCCTGGGTCCTCGAGGGCCGAGGCATAGGGTCTCGCCGCTCGCTCCGAGGGCCTCTAGGTTCCCAGGCTCCCTCGCTGCTCCTGCTCGGCCCTCCAGGGCCGAAGCGCTGGTGCCGCTGCTCTTTCCCCCCCCCCCCCCCCAGCGGCCCTCGCCGCTGAGGGTCGGCGGCGAGCGAGGGGGGGGGGGAAGTGAGAAGGAAAAGGCCTTCTGAGAAGGCGAAAAGGCCTTCCTAGAAGGCGGTGCAACACTTCTCTGGGGACTTCTGAGCCTTCTGAGAATGCTCGGGGGTGGACAGACCTCCTACCCTGACACATCGATTAGCGAAGTGGCCGTTTTCGGTTCGCGAGAGGGCGTCGCGGCCGTCATTTTTGTGGGTCCAGGTCCGTCGGTTTCGGTCCCAGGCCGTTTTCACGAAAGGGAGGTTTGCAAACGGGAGGTTTGTCCACCGCCGACATGCCTTCTCCTTCTCACTCCCCCCCCGGGCTCGCCGCCGAGAGAGGGGCTGGAGAAGAGCAGTAGGCTGCTCTTCCTGGTGCTGGCGGCAGGTTTGTCGGCGGCCGCAGGCCGACCTCCTCCTCCTGCTGCTCCTCCTGCTGCTGCTCCTCCTCCTCGCTCCTGCTCGTTCCCCGCTCCTCCCCGCTCCCCGCTCCCCGCTCCTCCTCCTCCTCCTCCTCCTCCTCCTCCTCCTCCTCATCCTTCCCCCAAACTACACAACATGAATCTCACTCTCCTCTCTGCCCTTACTCTGTCCAGAAGTGTTCGGCCCCCCTCCGCGTACTGTTTCTTCGCACACAGGATTCTGGCGAGTTGGTCTTTCTTTTTGTGTTTTTACTACTCCGTTTCTTTCCGCTCCTTCAAAATGTGGTTCCCGCTGCAGCGTTGGCTTCATTTTCGGGCTTCCGCTCGTTCCGAATCATGCTCCCGCTGCAGTGCCGACATCATTTCCACGCTTCCGCTTGTTCCGAATCGTGCTCCCGCTGCAGCGCTGGCCTCATTTGCGCGCTTCTGCTCGATCCGAACCGTGCTCCCGCTGCAGGGCTGGCCTCATTTCCAGTGCCCATGGCATGCAATGCAATGCTATTCTGCGTTCCGCTGTGCGATGGCATACCTTCAGTTGCAATGCCTTGATATGCACTGCTTTACTACGGAGTGCCACGCCATGCTATGTCATGCTACGTGTCAATCTTCAACGCCACGTTATGCCATGTAATGCTATGCCATGCTACGACATCCGACTGCGCGAATAGAGAGGATATCTACGCCATGGTCAAGGGATTGGAGGGAGGGGTATGACGTCAGATAAGACGCTTTCGCACCTAGCTTGTGCCCCACCCCCTCCCCCTCCCTCTAGGAAGCTCGCGCGCAAGAGCTATCCGACATGATGCGCAATGCTTTTGCATCCGCGCCAGAACGGTTGGTTCATGAACTCGGACGCGCAAGGACATACTGGTACTATGTGTCCTCCTTGGAGGCGTGCGTCCGACCCGAATCTATAGCAGCCCATATTGTACTATATTGTTTCCCGAGCGGTACGGCCAGAAAGCGCCTGCCACGAAGCTTGTAGTACAAGATTTCTCGGCGCGTGCGCGTCGCCCCTTGGGGGCGACGCACACACAGTATTAGTATGTTTGGGTGACGCCGATGTTGTTCTTCTATCCTCCTCCTCGTCAGGTCTTCCAGGGGGACACTTCGGCTTCGCGCGAGGTGGCGAGCTAAAGTGTGGGACTGCTGAAGCATCCCGCCGTTCTCCCCCAGTGCCGCCGAGAGCCGGGGTGAGGAGGGTGGTGCGTGCTGTCGGGCTCCGCATCCCGCGCCCGAGGCATGGGCTGCTGCTGCCTCCAGGTGACGTTCCAGGCCGCCGACGTGACGGAGTCGCGCTACCTCTACGACCAGATGGCCGTGATCGCGCCGATCATGATGGCGCCGCGAGCCAAGCCACGGCCAAGACGGCCCTCTCCACTCACCTCCTCCACGTCTCCGCTCTCACCTTCACCTCACCGTCCCTAGAGCCACCGACCCCCGTGCCCCCACTGCGAACCACCTACGCGGCAGAGCGCCGCGGTGCGAGCGATTCGACCGCTTTTCGGACCGTCTCTGACCATCCCACCCTGCTTCCCTCCAGCGTCGCGATCTTTTAGTTGCGTGGCCCCCCTATAGGGCTCTGCCCTTTCCCGAGACTGCCTTGTCATGCTGAGTGCTTTTTTATCGGCCTGAGGGTCTGGAAGCGGCCCCAGGAGGCCACACAGATGGGAACACCTCTGGCGTGATGTGTCTTGTGGCGTCGTAAGGGAATCCGGGAATCGAGGGAGGAAGCACGATGGCCATGACCATTGTACCGCGAGATCATGTCGATGCCGACCTTGGTCATGGTCCGTGCTGGCCGTCGCCAGTTCGCGAGTGTGATCCACGAATTGATGATGTCCAAGATGGACGGTTACTAAGATCGACACCGACGTTTCTGCGTGCAGTCTTGGCAATGGCCATTGCCGTCATGCTGTTAAGGTCTCTTTACTGGTTGCAAGGCCTCGGTGGTTGCCTGGTCACCGTTCAGTGTTCAATGTACTGCTCGGCATTTGTGGCATGGGGTTGCCTGGCGATGCGGGGGAGGAAAACAGCTGTGGTCATGGTCATCGTTGTCTTTCCCTCCTCGGGAAGCCCAGCCCGGCGTGCGAGCCTCTGGGCCTGCCCGAGGCGCTCACGGCGGCGACGCCGATCTTCGCGGGGCGCCTCTGCGCGACCGACGTGCGGTGGGACATCATCTCCGCGTCCGTGGACGCAGGGTGGGGAGAGGGGCGCAAACCAGAGGCGTCAACGCAGAAAAGCTCGGAGGTCCGCGCGGACTTTTCGGATCGGCGCCAGGGCCCCCCTGTCGGCACCTCCGGCGCCGCGGGGGTCCGATGCTCTAGGCCTCCCAGATGGGGTCGGAGTGGATGGGGTCGAAGGAACGCGCTGCATCGCCGATGCATCGCCACTGCGGCTCGATGTGGAGCTCGATTTTCTCCGCTCTGGCGTCGCCTGTGCATCGCCGATGCATCCCCGATGCATCCCCGATGCGTCACCGATGCATCGCCGACGCATCGCCGATGCATCGCCGATGCGGCGCGATCCTCCGACCTCATCTACTCCGACCACATCTAGGAGGCCTCCAGATAGGGAAAGGCGGGGTTGCGAAATCTGCTGCATGCAGCTGGTTTCGGCCCCGCCGCCGGGCCCATTCCTCGATGCATGGCCGCATCCCGGCGCCGGGAGGCGCCGGGAGGATGAGCTACGTGAGCCGATTCTCACCCCCCCCCCTTTGTTCTATCCCCCCTTTTCGCCCAGCCCGAGAGGAACAAAACTCGGATTCACGAGGCACATCTAGGAGGCCTCCAGATGCTGCTCCCCCAGGACGACCGCACGCCCGCCGAGCGCGGCGCGCCGGACCCGGGCGGCGAGGCGGACCCGGCGATGGTGGCGGGCGGCAGGCGGCCCCTCAGCAAGAGCAGGTACGACTCCGTGTCGTGCTACATCTCCGACTATCCGGAGGACGTCGGGGGAGGAGGAGTAGAGGAGGAGGAGGAGGAGGAGGAGGAGGAGGAGGGAGAGGAGGAGGAGGAGGAGGAGGCGGAGGAGGAGGAGGAGGAGGAGGAGGAGGAGGGGGAGAGGGAGGAGGAGGGAGGAGGAGAGAGGAGGGGGAGGAGGAGGAGGAGGAGGAGAGGAGGGAGCGGAGAGGAGGTAGGAAGGGGAGCAGGGAGGAGGCGGAGGAGGAGGAGGAGGGAGGAGGAGGAGGAGGAGGAGGAGGAGAGGAGGAGGAGGAGGAGGAGGAGGAGGCGGGTGGAGGAGGAGGAGGAGGAGGAGGAGGAGGAGGCGGAGGATGGGGAGAGGAGGAGGAGGAGGAGGAGGAGGAGGAGGAGGAGGAGGGACGGAGGAGGAGGAGGAGGAGGAGGAGGAGGAGGAGGCGCGGCGGACGCGGGTCTCTTCCGCGCGCCCGACGCTCCATAGTCGGGAGCCGGCAGACGCCCCCGCCGCCCAACCCCAAGGGGCGGCACCCCCGGGGGTAACTGCCTGCGAAACATGCAAGCAGCTACTCCCAGGAGGGTGAGGGCTTCTGCCAGCCGGAGCCTCTGGCCAGCAAACAAGGGAGCTCGTAGACGAACGCGACCTCCCCGGCCGCCGGCCTGCGCCTCTCCGCGGCATCGCTGTCGTCGGTGCCCCCCAGTAGCGCCGCCCAGCCGCCGCAGCGCAGTCAGCGGCGCAGTAAGCCAGCAGCGCTCCGCAGCGGGCCCGCGGGCGCGGGGTCGCGCGGGCTGGCGGCCTCGCCAAGCGTCTGGGGCCTGCGGCCAGCTGGCCCGCGCTCTGCAGCCCGGGTGTCGCGCTCGCTAGGCGGTGGCAAGGGCGGCGTCCCCCTCGAGCGGCCTCCGGTGGCGGCGGCGCCGACGCCTGGCGCGCCGCCTAGCGCAGGCCGGCTGCCTTGCGGAGCTGGCGCGCCGTGGCAGCTTGCTGGCCGCAGCTCAGGACCTTGTAGGCCCGCGCCAGCTCCCGCGGCTGCTGTTCCTCAGGCAGGCGTCTTACCTGCCCGAGCAGCCAGAGGCGGGCCTCGGCGCCGAGCCGCCCCCCGCCTCGAGGACGAAGGGCGTGAGCCGAGCGCCTGGGTAGCGCGCGTGCTTCTCGCGCTCGCCGCGCCTGCTGGCCTCGCCGTCCCGGCGCGCGGCCACGCGCAGCTCGGCTGGCGTGCCGGCTGCGGGGTGGCGAACGGAGACGTCCAGCCACCGGGCCCCGTCGTCTTCCTGGTACTCCAAGTCCAGGATGGCGCGCTCGAGGAGGAGGAGGAGGAGGAGGA